AACATACGATAAAATTTTCTGTAAAATAGTATTAGACATATATATATATACACTCACATACATTGAACATACATACATACATATATATATATATATATATGTGTGTGTGTGTGTGTATGTCTGTATGTATGTATGTATGCATGTATGTATGTATGTATATATATATACGGAGATGCACACAGTATTATGCAGAATCAGCCCATACATGGGTGGCAGCCCAAGCAGCTACAAAGGGCATGCCGCAGAACTGGTTCCATCGCCCCGTGCAAGCGCAATTAACGCCAAGGGTTCCTCCGCCCATGTCCACCACCTGCCAGGGGCCCCAAGAACCCCCTGCTGTCTGAGTGCAGGCTGTCGGGTTTATGGTGCTGTACTTCTTGCAGCTCTAGTTTCTACCACTGTGGAAAACCACAAACGATGGCATGAAGCTCCCCATCTCAAGAGCGAATACAAATCGCACTCTATCTAAACCCTAACCCTCTGACCTTCTGCTCTATTTTCCAGTTGTCCGGATTGTGCTCGTGGCCACCTAGAACCGCCAGAATGACACAGGTTGGGAGTCTTGATGCTTGCACAATCGAGTTGTCCTTCTGGCAGAGACAAGGGTTGGGTTCCAGAGTGTAGAAGAACAGTGGGCCCGATGTTGAAACAAGAACCCCAGGTGCTTTGATCAGGCACAGAAAACCCATCCACCACGGCAAAAGCAGCTGTTCTGCAAAATAAATCAAAACAGTCGAATCAGCAGTGATGAAAGAAACTCACATCTCGTGAATCTCGTGCGTTCCTGCTCCCACGTGACAGGTTTTAAATGGCAAAGCGTGATTCCTTTCGCAAGCAGCAGGACACACCGGGATTCTGGGCAGAAGATGTCTGAAGCAGCAACTTTAGCCGGCATGACTTCTTGAACCAGCATTCCACAATGATTATACCTTGAAAGCCATACCAGACAAGATGTCCTACTTTACAGTAGACAGGAACTGCAAAAAGTCTCCATCCCAAAGCGTCTCAGACACAGAGAAAGAGTGTCGGCTTCACGAAGTTCACCAGCTCCGAAATGCTTTCTAGCACCCGGCCAGACTTCCCATAGAGCGCATTGGCCGGCGGCCCATGCGTCACCTCCACTCAAGGTTTTCTTTTTTGAAACCTCTCTTCGTCCCTAAGGCATGCCGCAGGTCCTACCAAGCTATCCAATCGCGCCGTGCCACACCTGGCTTCAAGTCCGAACATTCGAGCCAAGTCTCAACCCACGACTCTTCTTACGAACTCAGCACGCCAAAAAGCCCCAAATCCTCACCCCTCAAGCTTCAAGCTTGGTCGCAATGATATCTGCCGACCCTTCGTCCAAATGCTCGGTCTCCTCACGAAACTGACTTTCGCCAGCCTGCGAGGCGGAGCCCAGGGCTTTCGCAAAGGCTTCGCTTCTTCGAGCTTTGGGATTTGGGGGCTGTGGGTTCAGGGTGATTTTGTTGCATCTATCGCTGACCGTTTGTTAAAAAAAGAAACCGAACCATGGCAGCCTAAACCTACGTCTTCCGCGGGAAGAAGCAAACCTCAAACCTCAGTGACAGGATCCCATACCTGGGCAGTCAGACCTCCATGTCATAGACGAAGGCCACGTTTCCGGACTTGATGGCGCGCTCCCCTCCCACCCCTGCTTTCGCGGAGACGCCTGACCCCCAGACCTGCCAAAAAAGGAAGGGTCGTGTAGAAGGGTTGAGCGTCTCCGGTGAGATTCTCAGCTTGAGGGGTTTACTGTAGGGTTCCGGGTTTAGTGTTTGGAGGTCTTTTGAACCTTGAAAACTCCAGTGACCTACTGCCCATGCTTCAAGCATCTTGTTAGCACTGCAGTCGCCACTGTCGCTTGTGTATCAGCGGCGGGGGCCGTGGTGATTCTGATGCTTGTGCCGGCAGTAACGGAAATCGTTGTGTCGACCACAGACGACTTCTTCAGCGCTGCTTCATTGTGGCAAGGATGCTGGTGACGGTACTGGTAGCGCGGGCGATGATGGTGATGAATGCAGCATCGCAAGGTCGTTCATGTCTTCACCAACATAAACGTGATCTATGCTGGTTGCCAAGCTGACACGCAGTCATGGTTTCGACATTATCATCGCCACTGGATTGAGCAGTGGCAGCACCATGCTTGGGCTGTCGTATCTGAATTTTCGCCCTTTGCCAGTACTGCCATCCCTGCTCTCAAAGCAATCCTGTGACACCGGTGACCGGCATTGCTGCCTGCTGTCATGTTGGCAGTGCTTTGCAGTGCACTGTTCGACACAGGGGCATCGGAAACACAACCTATGCTTTTCTCATAATGAAATCCGGGGGCCGAGCGTGATAGACTCTCTGCCGAGGTTTGGGATCAGGTGCCAGGTTTTAGCAAGACGCTTTCCTGGAAGTGCTCTGGCGCCGGTGTTGAACTATAGGGGTAGTTCTCTGAATTGGGGTCCCTTGTTAAGTCCCAAACATAGTACGGCACCCTTACAAAAAGGGCCTCCGAAGGGTACCCTAATGTAGAAAACCACCCATATGGGGGTTCCCAAAAATAGGGGACCCCAATATAGTACCCCAAATAGTAGGATCCCTATTATAAGGACCCCAAAATAAGGTACCCCCTATTTTCGGAAACACCCATATCACCGTTAGCTCCCTCTCTCCCGAAAAAATGGCAGAGCGCTGGGCCCAGAGCTGGTGGCCAAGGGTTTGGCGCACGGGAACACCAGGGGTGAGTTTGTTGAAAGTACAGGGTTTAGGGTTTAGGGTTTAGGGTTTAGGGTTTAGGGTTATTTCAAGGATGTTCAAGGTCTCAATGTATGTCGTAGGTCGATGCATAAAACCAGAATAGGCCCAGGCACTGTGACTTTGCAGCCGGACTTGAAGTGGAGGTCTTTTGGAGGGTTCCTTGTGTGAAGGTAGCAGTCGACGTTGAAGGCTTTGCATAATAGTTGGGCATTCCTTTCCCCGATCCGCTCCAGGATGTAGTCATGGTTTCCAGCCACCAACACCTTCGTAGGAGCAGGGGTGTAAGCCGAAAGCGGTCTGGGCCCAGCTATTCCAGCTATTCGGCCTGTACAACCAGAACGACGCTCATCCTAGTGGAAACAGGCTAAAACAAGCCCGTTCCTTGTATGAAGGGATGACACATGCAAAGCTCCATGCCCCTGAACTTGCAACACTCGCTAGACCATTTTCCCCCAAACCCTGAACCCTAAAATCCAAAACACCCCAGAGCCCCGAGGCCCCGAAGCCCCGAACCAGAAACCGACTTCCAGAGCCCGTCAAACACGGGAGATTTGTAGATTGTAGAGAACAAGTAGACCCTTTGCCTAGAGCCCTACATCGTAGGACCCCTCGGAAGGCCCCTAAAACGGCACAAACAGGCTCGAGAACTCCATGGTCAAAGTATGTGATGGTGTGATTGTAGTCTGTTCTCGTATACTATAATGTGATTATGGTATAAGCCTATCACTGCAAATTAACTGTGTTATATCCTAAAACCTAAACTAGGTTGGCCCCTCAAAGCCTCTGAAAGATATTCGTAAATAAGATCCTCTTGAGCCCAATAAGGGAAAATATAAAATGTCCCAAAGGCCTACCTAGTAAACCTAAACCATATCTGGGGATTTCCGAACATGGGGGACCCTAATATAGTACCCTAAATAATAGGATCCTTATAATAAGGACCCCAAAATAAGGTACCCCCTATTTTCGGAAAGTCCCAAATGCGAATCGATGATCCTAAAAAAGCGGCGAATGAAAGCCCGACCTCAGGTTGCCGAAGCCTTGTAAGTCC